CTCTGTACTTTCACAATAATCGGCTGTCGGTTAGCTTCTGGGAACCGATTGACTTGGCGATCGATTCAATCAGTCGTATTCCCATAACCTCTCTGTTTTTTTTTAAAACAATGTCAAGCTCAACCCGTTACTCCCATTTTAGGTACCTAACCAGACAAATTTAAATTCAGTGCATTTAAGTTACAAGAGAGGAGAAACTTTGACGCTTATTTTTTTTTTTACCTAGCAGTTACTAACTGCTCAGACGCATCCTTATTTAACTTCCGACCTATGATTGTAACAGAGTACGAGTCAATAATAAAATATGTAAAAAAGTAAAGGAAAAGGGAGAAGCAAAATTATAATATTTCAAACGTTTTTTTTCTGAAATGAACCAAATCTAACTGAACTTTTGAGCTTTGTACAAAAAAAATTTCTTATCATTGGTTTTTGCTAACTTGCAACTCCCAAAAAGTACACGAAATTTAGAAGAATAACATTAAATTTGTAGGTTATAGTCTCCAATAAAAGATCAAATTGTAACGTATTTTGCCAAGTACCAGAAGTGCTGTTGTTAATTACTCCTCCCATTTTTATCCACTTCAGTCATTGGTGCTAAAATCATGGCCGTCACTATATTTATTTATTTTCTGTTTTACATATTTATATCGATGTACCGCTTGATAGTTCGCACGATCTTAGACTGTAAATGGGACTACCAAAAGAACTACCAATTGCCGTTTCCCTAAGAAAAGCCCAAATCCAAGACCAGACTAATTGAGGCATCGCACACAGAAGATTAGAACAAGTTGGTTAGGCAGCCATCACGACAGATATTGAGAGAGGAAGTCGCAGACCGAGGCGGGCGGTTAGGAAAACAGAAGAGAGGAGAAGAAATCATGAGTTTAAAATTGAGCAAGGATCAGGACGTAGAGGCTTAGAGTCCAGACTAAACCAGCTCCGCCGAATATTACTTCACGGGCATTGAATATCATTCGTTGATTTAATGCTTGTTGATCAGAAGATCTTAATTCGATACGACTTCTATACTGGAGGGATCGTAACAAGAGATCTCAAACCGTACAAAATAAGGACGAAGAGAAGAAAAAAAAAGCAATGTTCAGATTTAACCAAGGGAAGGGAATAAGTAACTTATAGCAGTCAAGAGAAGAGGTCTAGTATAACCTAGACTTCAGGAATCTATTTTAAGATAGGATACTGTAAGTAGACACAAAAGAGCTGCTACAATTTATTTGTTTATTCGTTCATTCATTCATTTACCTATTTACTGGGACAAAAGTAAACAAATAAATAAATAAATAAAAATCTACACGTAGTTGTAAAAATAATTACGCAAGGCAATGATAGAAACTTTTAACAATTTTTGAAAGTAGGGTGATACAATCGAAAGTGACTTTTATTTCTTAAAGTGATTTTTGATGCCTTAAAATTTCGCCAGCTAGCAGTTTTTAAATTTGGCAACAGTTCTGGATACTGTACCCTAGTTTCTCACTTGTTGACGCTAATCCTCGTCAGGAACTTGAAACAGATTCACTCAGTACCTGGAAAACGTGCAACCTTCCGTTGCAAACCAATTTTTTACTTTCATTTTCAAGGCTTCTGATGGCAATAGCGTTTGGTGACTAAGGCAATTATCTTATTACGTCCACTTAGCTGACAATTTTTCAGTAGCTGGTTTTCCAGGAAGAGTGCTTTAGATTGTTATTCCGTTACAATATTCTACTGTTAAAAATTGTTTCTCTCTCTGACTTCAAAGCTTTTTAATGAACCTCCTAGACACATCGATACTGATTCATTATACCACTGTGTTGAAAAGATGGCCAGCATAAAATACTAAACCATGGTGTAAATAGCTACTACGGCGAATGCCCATCCAAAATTAAAATCTCCACTTGAAAATGAGCCGAATGTATCCATCTTCATGAGGTAATACCAAGTTGATTCCTGTCACATCCGTAAACATGACTTCTGACTACTGCGCTCTGTTTCACTGGAAAAATCAGCTTTCTACCGAGTTTTCTAGTCCAAATTCGCTTAGGTGTGTCGTTACAGCACTTACGCTCAAATTGAATTGGATAGCCTGCGTACACAGGATTCAGTAGACATCAGGCTCTTTGCAATCCGCAACCCATTTCTGCCGGTCGGTGCTTCATCCTGTTTCATTTCTGCACACTTAAGTTTAAAAGATCTCCTAGTAAAATTTTTCGCGGATTTGGAACGTGGGAAGGCAAAAAAGTTCTTTTGAAGTCAGTAATCTCTTTTGTCCTACGGCAGACTTTCTACTAATTTGCTAAAAGTACAGTACAGTAGTAGCAGAAAAAAGCGGTAAAAAAACTATCAATTTTTTATATATGTATGACCAGTACAGTGCCCGTTGAATTTTTAGAAACCTTATACCGAGTAATACAAATTAAAATCACTTTTCTTCACTAAAAAATTACAAGAAGAAAGGTTGCTGGTTCTTCCTGTTTTACAAAACTAACTATTTACAAATTTGAGATGGATACACTTCACTAAATAGTCCTACAAACCTTTTCGGGATCTTATTAAATTTCAAGCCAAAACTTTCTTATTCAATATCTCTTTGGCCAGAAACCTTCATTTTTTGGATTCTATGCCGTTACCAAGTACCTCCCTTTCTTGGACCCCTAATACAATGTTGCATGAATAATAAAACTGCAACGAAGAAATCATCTAATCTAAAATCCTTCTAAATGTTGAGGCAACTGCGCACTCCGAATTCATAGTTTATTTGACCTCGTAAACAAGATAAAAATCTAGGCATTAGCAAAATAAAAAACGGTAATGCAAACTAGACAAAAGACAGAGGAATCTGAAACGGTAGGTGGGAAGTTTCCTAACAATTACATTTACATTCAGCATTTTTGAGACCCTAGTGTCCCAAAAACGACATTCAGTACACAGAGAAATGTACAGAAACTGCCTAGCGTCAAAAAGAAACAAGGAGAAAAAAAAGTAACGATGAGAGTGAAACAAAACTCCAAGTCAACGTGAAACACCAGGAGTCCTCGGAAAAACATTGAGATCACGAATCGACAAAATCTATAAAACACAGCTCCTGGTCAGGGTGAAAGGAGAAAACCAGTTTTATGTATGAGTTTTTATAACCGGGTCCCAGTATAACATTATGGCATACAATACTGATTATATCACAAATAGCTTCTAAATTGTTAGATTAATAAACAATGCATATTCGACAGAAATCCAATGAAAACAATGATACTGCTGCTCCAAAACTTGTACAACAATGGTAAATTTTTAAATACACTATGTTTCCACTGAAAAACAGGGAAATCTGTCGGACCTTAATTTTGCGAAACAGTAGAATTTATAAAATTCTTCAAGATGCTGCTTTTTCAGAGACATTTATTAGATACTCTGGAGATGCCTCCACATAATCTTGATCAGGATCAAAAAACTCAGAACAAAAATTATTCAAAAATTCAAGAAACTGATGCAGTTGGTCTATCAAACACTGATGAGATCGCCTTTTCCATTTCAAAATTCTAAAAAAATTATTTACTTTAGGATATAGATTAAAAAAATACCTAGTACAACAATAGTTTAAAAATTAAGAGCTCTTACAGTGAAAAGGAAGAGATTGACTTTGCCAAGCAGTCTAGCTTAACGAAGAAACGTAGTAAATGGATAAATCCGTAAGTTTTGGATGGCTTCCACTGCATGACTTCTGAAAATAGCCACAAGAAACAGCTGGTTAAATGAAAAATGAAGCTGAAACTGAAAGTACCAGACGGAGATAAAGAGCTCTCAATGCCAGCAAATTAAAAGAAGTTTTGCTGCTTTCTCTCTGAGTTTTCACTTTGACAGTTTTGAGCAGAAAAATATGAAACACTACTCGATAGCTTCCACTGCAGAATAGAATAAAAAGACTCTCATTGCAGTTTCCAAAATCAGTTAGAAAAAAAACTTGAAACCACTTGGTAAAATACGCAAATGGTAACAAAATAAAAAGCAAAAAAGGAGTTTTCCTTACCTAAGGGTTTAGCACTGTTCAAACTGTTATCAGGCGTCGAATTCAGGTTCAAGTTCTGAATAATAAGAATTACTTTGAGAATGAATCAAGAAGTGTGAAGAAAAAATTTTAACGAGTAAAAGTTTGAAGAAAACACACAAAAGGGTACTTAATCAATAAGAGGACACAATATTCAAAGAAAATTTTTAATATAATAAGATTTTTAAACAATATAAAAGATCAAGTACGTGAAAGTTCTAGCTAAATTCTGTTGGCGAAATCTCAAAAGCCTAGCAATGCGAAACAAAAAATACCGCAATTAATGACTCCAAACTAAGTGGTAAAATGAGATTTATAAACAGGGGAGTGGTGAGCGAAAAGAGGATTAAATGAAGCAAAATTTACTAAAGTCAGTGAACAGAGGAAAGATCAAATAAAGTTATAATAGTTCCTAAATAACATAAGTATACTGTGAGAACTATTGGTGAAAGTACTAAACTGCAAGAATCTCATATGCAAAAATTCATTAGACTAACCTGTGTTTCACTTTTGACTAGATTTGAATATTGTAGCATTTCAAATTTGTAAAGCAACTGCGTCCCTAACATAATGTTGAAAAGATCCTAAATAGAGGTCATTAAGACGGTGCCTTTGTTTTAAAAGCAGAGGAGAATCTTAAGGTTATAAAATGAATTACCTTCACGATATCACTTATTAATGATTTCCGCTCTTCTCCTTCGCTCAACAATGAGCCTTTCTCGTGAGATGAATCCGACATAGCAAATGCGACATACTAAAACCATTTCGCAAGTGAAAGTAAATGAATTTAAATTCTATTATTCAAACCAAAAACTATTTAAAATTTTTAAAGAATAATAAAGTAACACTACATGACAATGGAAGAACCACAATATCAAAGTGAGCATTAGTTACTAAAAATAATTGTTCCCGCTATATAAGTATTAGTTTTTTTTACCCGCTCTATAATGACATCGACCGAATAACGTGCAGGAAGTCTAACCAAGTGGCGACTGTTCAATATCCTTCCCTGGTCTCCAACAATTATGTCTTTCAAACGAGAGGGAATCTAATACAATGAGATGCAAATAAAAACTTAGCTGGTGTTGTGACCACAGAAGCTTGAAACGGTAAAGCACAAAAGAAGATAAAACTTGAAGAAAATCTAAAAACGTTGCCTTTACTGAAACACAAGATGTTGTTTCACTCTTACTGCGCTTGAACTGCATCGCATCGATCCCTGCCATTTTCCTCTTACTACCAAATACACTAGTTAAGCCCCTATCTGAAAACCATTCCGCACAAATGAGTAAAGCCGTTTTTATTACAGATTGACAAATGCTTCCAACTAAAAGAGCAAAAAAATCCATTCAAGAACTGCTAGGAATATAGAATTGCAAAATTCAAAACGCTCACTTTTTTCAACCAAGGAAGATTGGGCCTGTTTGTACGCAGTTTTTTTATTAACGCCATTTAGACCACTGGTACCATCTCTTAATTCGTCACTTTTCGGAGCTTTTTTAATTTTTTTTTTATTCTTAAAATTCTCCTGTGCAGCTTTCAACCTAGCCTTAAAACCAAAAAATCAGTGAACACGACTTGTACATTACGTTTAAAAAAGGACTTATCTTTCAAGCACAAAAACCAGGAAATAAAGAAATTTTTGTACATTTTTGTAGACTACGGCGCAGACCAAAAAATTTAGAAAATATACCTTTGCTTCCTGACAGTTTTCTTTGGTGAAAGGCAGAAATCGTGTCAAAACTTCGCTTTGCAAAACGATTTCGTCGTGACGACGATTCCAACCCTAGGAAAAGTTATAAAAACTCTCCGCAAATTGACATCCAGTATAATACTAAAGCGGATTGCCTTCTGACCAGAAAGGCATTGTGATTTCCAATCCAGAAACTAGTGCTGTCAAAAAAGCAAAAATGCACACTTTTCCCCATATATTACCGAAAATGCTTTTTCTCTTGACTAGTACAAATATATTTATCAATTAAATATTTGCAGCTGCTGATTCTACTTGACAATTACCTGATAATGCACTTTGTAACCTGTTTCACCACTTTCCATTTTCTGTATGCCAACAATTTTAGCTTCGTAATAAAGATTATCAAAATGCTTGCAGAGAACCATCTTGTTGACATCATATGCAGAAGGATTAGGACTAGGTAACTGGAAAGAGTACACTACTTCAAACCAGCAATTTTAAAGTCACAGAACAAAAATGAGTGAAATTTCAACAAACTTTTACGCAGTCCCTCAGTAAGAGACAAGAAATCCTTCCTAATAAAGAAAAAATGCAACGAACCATCCCACATCCTTCTTCCACTAACACAGTGGGACTGTCTTTCACTGAAATGGCTGCCTTAGAAACACTTTCTGGGACTGTAAAACCCATTTTCCCGGAGTCATTAATAACCGCCATTAGACAGAACTAGAACATTCAATAAAGGCCTTGTGAATTTACTATGTAAATCAGCTGTTTACGCTTCATCTCAAGACACACAAACACTACCCAACCATCTCATTGGAAAAATACCCTAAAGCACTAAAGCCATTATGCTAACTGACTTCTGGCTCGACAGTACTTAATAGAAAAAAACACAGCAAAATCGCTGAGCTCAACTCGCCTCACTGAACTTTTTGGTGAAGCGACTATTCAAATCAACCGACCGAGTAGCACAGTATAAGCTACAACTACGGGTTACGACAACTACTACACTAGAAGGAAAGGTCACTGATGTCACAGATAAACCGGACCGACTCAACCAACTGATCGAACCATCAATAGCAAAAAGTTGTAAAAGTATTTATAAATCTATGAAAGTTACTTGCAGAGAAGCCATCATCTTGAAAACGCAGCATTCAGGTATGAATTTAATGGAAGGTTAAAAAAATAAATTAAAAGAGATTCTATGAGACCCTCTCAAAGCAACATCTAATTACTTGCAAATGAACCGTGAGATCTATATTGCATGAAAAGCTTTGCAAGTAACGTGAGAATCACAGAGGAGAAAAAGTCACGATAAACAAAGAAAAACACAGAAGACCTTCGTGACAAAAAATGCTTCAACGCAAAGTTGCAAAAAAATTTGTTCACGTACAAAACGTGAACAAATCCCTTTCATAAAACAAAAGCAAAGACCGTCTGCCAGCACAGTATTTATGTCCCATTCAATAATGGATGGTCAGTAAAAATGTCCAAAGGCTTGAAGATAAACAAAATATTCCAACGTCAGCGGTAAAAACAAGATGAATGATATTAGAATGCAGCAAACAATGTGTAATAATAAAAATGTACATAATCAGGAGTGAACCAAAATCACACTAACAGTTCTTCAAAGCTATTCATTTTGAACCAAATCCAAGAGATAGTCCGCTGTGCCAACCATCAAGCTGCAAACTTCTGAAAAAGAAAAGCTTAAAAGAATAAAGCAACAGCTTTTTAATTCACCAGGGATACTTTAACTTTTATAATATTGAATTTACTTTGTCATAAAATTATTGGAGTTAAAATGAGAGCAGAAATTTTGGAAACGCTTCTCCATTGTTACAGAAACTTGCTGTTAGTACACGACATCGCTGCCGTAAACTATGAATCTTTCCTTTCATAACATAAAAAAGGATTTGAAGAGGAAGCTAAGTCTTGGCAATAAAAGTAAAATAAAAAAAAAAGAGTATTTTCTTCTAAATCATTACCGACCAAAAAAATCTTATGCTACGTCTCCTAGACCTTCATAAACCTACGAAGCAAGACAGTTATTATCCCTAAATTACTGTACACGAGAAGTTTAAAAGCTCCTGTCTTAAAAAGCTAGTCCCCACAAGAGCACCGTGCAGAACAAGGACCAAAAAAGAAAACCAAAAACGAATGCTGAACTTTAAGTTTGAAGCACCGAGCATGCTATTTTCAGACAAAGGAATTTGAATGGCGAGCAAAAAGAAATCGAATAGTCAGAAGCATATCCTAAGAAAACAAGTCAGAAATCATTCGAAAAAAAAAAGTAAAAACCTCGCAGAGCAGACGAAGAAGAAGAGCGGAAGAATTTCAGTGACGCCCTTTATCTGGTTATTTCTGTCTTCATTGCACAACACAGCTTTTATCGTTACCGTGTTCTATAATGCAGTAAAATTACAAAGGCAGTGAGCAACACAAAAGCCTAATTCATTAAATCAACATACTACCTTTTGTGACCAGTTGAAAATTTAGCTGGTTCTACCAAGTTATTGGGATTATCCCACTAGAACTCCCTTTAATAAGAAAAAGATGACTGCAAAAAATAAATTCGAATCAAATCCTCAAAGGGATACGAGAATACGTAGTAACAAAGAAATTTATTGAATGTTACACACGCATAGAGGAAAATCACAGAAAGTTAACTGACGGTATTAACTCTGTTTTCTCGAAGTCCTGTCAACCAAAAAGTGGCACAGTTCCATGGTATGCTCCATCCCTGTTTCTGCTATCAACTGCCACGTTCCTTTGCTATGTTTCAAATAAACGATTAGCTGCTTCCTTATTGGATACGCTACTGCTGCTTATACACTGCAAAAAAAAAGTCAAAATCTGTTAAATCGTAAGAATAAACACTGGAGAAGTAGCACGGTATAGTGACCTCATGATGACAGAAGCCAAAAGATGAGATAAAAAACAGCCAATAAGAAGCTAAGAAAAAAATAACAATTAGAAGTCGTCAAGGTAAACATTCCCGGATGCCGCATTTGTTGGATTTTTGAACTTGACGGAATCAGCAGTAATTATTTATCAGCGATCAAAAAACACAACATTTATTTTGCTCCTTACCAGGAATCTTTTTTGAGGTGAAGAAAACCGTATCGGTAATATAACCACAAAGAACAATTGCCAATAGCTTTTTTTGATTTATTACTACTTTTCATATGTCGTCGTACGCAAGCAACTTTACCTTCCTCGTCCAACTTTGGCTATCGTTTGCATTCGCAGCATTAGCAAGACCGCTTTTGCTGAAAATTGTGAGCAGAGAAATATACACAATTTTGCTTCAATGCCTATGAAATGTAAAATGTAAATCTGTTCGCAAAAGCTTCAACGTACCCCTCCATTTCTTTCAGAAAGGTTTTGCGGAGGGGAGGGGGGAAGGGGGGCGCCAGTAAACGGAAGGTTCAATGCTTCTGCTCTTTGAGTCGTCTAAGTGTTGGCCTTATAAAAGGCAAGTTATCAGGTTTTTAACGCTGATTGCGTCGTTCCTGACACCATTCTCTAAACAGGTCCACTAGTGTCACTGACGGTAGCCAAGTGCTGCTTTGATAAAATTCAGATGGTGATCAGATTCCAGAAGAATCATTGAGCTATAACTGGGTCGCAAAAAATACCAGACTTATCTTGAAATTTTTATAAAACAGATGGCTAGCTGGGAAAGCACGATCCTGAGCAAAGATCTACATATATGTTGATATCGTCAAAAATCCTAGTGACCACTTCAGAGTTTTCACAGTCAAAAGTGATGCGAAGACTTTCCTTGAAGTGTGGCATTCAGTCAGTCACTACTGAGAGTCCATCACTGCTGGTTTTTTACTGCTGATCTCTAGTCAGTTTTTTGTCAGGTTTTAGCCAATTCGGATATTGCCCTGGCCAAAAATGGACTATCTAAAATTTAGTGCTGATAATTTAGCTGATTCTCGTGGCGCTAATGAATTTCCTGTATTAGTTAAAAGCAAACTGACGTCTATTAATACAGACTCAAAAAATACAGTTTTGCTAGAAACAACAGAAAACCGAAGGTGAAGCAAGCAAGAAGTATTTCGTAGGTCCTCAAAACCGCCTATGCTGGAGGCCTCAGAATGGACCCTGCTAATCGATTGATTTTGGTTGTTCAAAGTGCAGACTGAGCAGAGCAGTATCAGCAGCCCATCTGTCGAAGATTAATTCAAAGAGAGGCAGGTAGATTTTCGCTTTAATATTATTATCACTTTGACAGTTCTTTGCACCCATTTACTGGCCAATTTTCCGCCATCCAACCATTCAAATAAGATACTGGAGTGCATCTTCCTGTCTTCCGTGTTGGTTTCAAACAACAGGTCTTGATTTTGCTCTAAAACACAAGATCCATAAAAAAACTTTGCACCAGTAAGGTTTTGCTGGGTGCCAAAAACTGCTATCATCACCCTAAAAAAACCTCTGTCTCTTGGTGCTACCCTGATTCATAACCCTGCAGAACACCATGTTATCCTCTTGTATAAAACTTGCCTGCGTTGTCGAAGTTGCTAGTTAGCGTAAACGACAGCCTCACACAACTTTTACTCGTTTTCTTCAAGATATCAATAATTTCGTCAATACGGGAAAAAAGCTGATAGCTGTGAACAAAGCAGTAAAGTAGCAGAACTGATCGCGCTTAACATCAACTTTGATAATCTCACTTTTCTTTTTGAGCCCTGCGTACCAGGTCCGGAATCACAGACGAGATACAGCGTGCAGCATTACGCTTAGTGTCGGTTTTATACTACTGGCAAAACTACTGCTGAAACAACAAGAGAACCTAATTCACTGGTGTAATTCGCCGTCCGACCATTGAAACAACTACCAATTATGCTTTAAACGTACTTTTTCCAATAAATCCCTTACGATATCATTTAATCAAAATCATCAGAATTACATACAATAAAAATGTAACTCAACTGCACGTGGCTGCGCTCTGTACAGAAAGCTCGTCTAAAAACCCAGCTGACGATACATGAAAAATACGTTTCAAATCGTTCTGCAATCCCTCTTTTATCCAAACAATTTAAACGGTTTAAAATCCCTTTTATTTATTCATCCGCACTTGGTCCAGTCAAAGTCAGGGTATTTCCTTTGAAAGCCCATCTCTGTAATACTCTGGAACTGTCAAGAAAAGCAGGAAATCTTCCATAGACAATGAGTGCTTCTAATTACTGCTCCTAGTTCTCCCCTTAGTACTCTTTTTAAGTAGGCATCAGCTCAATAGCTAAGACTTCTGAAAGTGAAAAAACCCTATAAAGACCTCAAGTCGAATTTTCTTAAGACTGAGTTCAAGCTTCAGTGTTTTCTTTGCTTCTTAAGACTTACCCCCTTCAGCAGTCTGGAATGAACCTTCAAAGCAGTCTTATTACCCTTCCTTAGACGTCTTATTTTTTCATTGCTAATGATAACCATCTGTTAGCAAGAAACGCACTTTGCACTTTAATTCTCAGTATACATTTTGAAAATGAAAATAAAAGATTACTTTTATGCGTTTCAAAAAATATTACGAAGGACAAAAATAACAGCTGGTAACAGCTTATAATCACTTTCTGAATTCAAAAATATCACAATAAACAGAAATCATTGCAAATATATAGGATTCAACAGTCTGAAAGCAGAAAATTTGAATTCCAATTTTACTCTCAAGTGTTTGAGCACACCTATTGCAACGTAACAACATCATTTTGAAACGGAAAAAACGAAGACAGGATGGATTGTCAGAAAATTATGGTCTTTCTAAAGCGAAATGAAAGTAAAAGCAAAAGAACCCGTAAAGGCTTAAGAAACAATAATTTTCTACAGTTCTGCACTTTAAAAAAAGATTTCTTTCAATTTCAATGTCACCTAAAAGTTAAAATACTCATTAACTGTACAATAAAAGTGACAAAAATATACGTGAAGTACGTCAAAAGAGCTATTCGACCCGCAAAGCAAAACACTGTCAAGCAACTTCTGTCTTGAACTTCTTATGTGTATCTTGGTCAAGAACTATAACCCATGTACGTCTGGATGTCGCTTCTGATATTCAGCAGATGCAACAATATAATCTTTCTGAACGTCAAAAAATTTCTGCCTATTTTCGTCCAAAAAATTGATGAATCGTGCAACGTGCTCAACTGTACTAATAACAGAACGTTCCCCTTGGTCTTCCCACTTCGCCTCGCTAAAAATAAGCGACTGCTAAAGTAAAATGATTTATGCAAATAATATAGCAAATATGACTAGCTCATTTGTAAAATACATTAGGTCGCAAAACTTTGGTAGAAACTTCAGAAACACAAACCATAACAAGCAATCAAACTTCACAAGAAGACGGAGTAAGTGAACAAAGCCAAAGGTATCTGAAGGCTTCCATCTCTTTTCCAAAGCGAAATCTGAAGTATTAAGGTAACTATAGACGTAAATTATAAAACAGAGAATCAAACAGCTCCAGTTTCTCATTAAAAACCGTATTCTTTCGTATGAGATCCATTCAGTACTAACTAAGTGCAAAGAACTGGTTCAAATACTCCAAAAAAACGAGCAATTCATCCTTCTCAAAGAAAGACGAAAATGAAAGAAAAAGGGAACTCACCGTCATTTGAGGTACTGGTTTCTTCGCTTGCTGATATGTTTGATAATGCATCCCCCTTTATTTCCTAAA